AAGTTGTTCGGGTTTTTTTCATCTTAAAAAAAACAGCATTAATTTCCTGACGACCTAATACTTGAAGAGCATGTTGGAGAATGAAAATTGTATCTGATTTTGTAAACAAGATACAGATGTAAATGGACTTTTATAAACTTTAGAGCATTATCACTTTAAAAATAGAAAAATAGTGATTATTGGTAAGAAGGTCAAACATACAGACAGAATTCGGAAATAAAACTGTACATAATGGACTAACTGCATTTTTAAGTGATAAAAAACAATTATGTCTAGAAATAGCTAAGACATTGAATTGTTAATGTAGCTCTGTACCTACTGTTCAAATTTGAAACTACACAACGATAACTTAAGAATTAATATGATAGTTAAGCTGATGGCACTCAATGCAAAAAAAATCTAATTGTTTATATATGTGTGTAAATATTCATCCAGAAGATTAAGCTAGAATTTATGCTAATTCTTTGGACAGCCTTTTCATTACCACACGGACCTAGATTTTTTCTTTAATCTGTATTACTGCATCTAACTTGGTTCAACCCAGTTTAGAATCAAAAGTCTAATCTACCCCTAAAATATTCCCATAAAGAAATAATCCTTACAGCCACTAAGCTACTAACAAATAATTTAACAGTAAATTCAAATTCATGATAAGCTTCTCAAAATACTTTAAATTACTGTTCTACTCATACCACTTTTATCTTACTACTGGTATTTAACTAAAAAAATGTCACACATCTACTTACTGCTCCAGTTCTGTAACCCACAGAACATCACTTCCCCCATTCATACTAACTGGCAAGAGACATTTCTTCCCTTGACGGAGAGAGTTACTACGTGTGGTTACTGTTCTAATTTTTTCTACCTTTAAAAAATGAAAATGGAGATTATTTATCTCAAACAGTGAAATATATAGCAAGAATTATCTTTACAAGCATGTTAAATTTCCTTAGCATTAAAAAAAAAGATGGACCTGTCCCTCAAGAGAATCATTTTAGCTACATTGTATCTAATTATAAAATTGTAAATGTACTTTTCAAAACTAAAATCTTGCTACATCATCACCATAAATATATATTTTGTCATCAAATATCCGTAACTAGTTAGGGAAAAACGATATTGCTTGTTTTGTTTTTTTACCTCTACTCAGTTTACAAATTTGAATTAAGCTTATTTTTACATAAAAGGAGTATACCATAATAAAGATAACTTTTACCACAGGCACTGCTTATAGAAAAAAAGTATTATTGTATGTCTGTTGTACAATTAAAATTAACTGACAACAATAATGCATGTTTTTCTTTAGATTTTATTAATTTTTTTGTTTTCTATTCAACAATGAAATACATATATATTTTCTATCAATTTTTAATTCTCAGTATAGAAAATCTTTGCATTTTTATGAGGACACTTATGACCTTCATTGGCTTGTAATTAAATTTTTAACCAGATTACGTATAATAGGTAAAAAAAAAACTGTTAACCCAGAGCTCACTTTGGTAAAGGTAGCAGAATTACATGGATTAAGTAGAAGCAATTTGCCATTCTTATTGAAACTTACTAAACTTCAAATATTCAATTACAACTTTATTGAATGTAAATAAACAAAAATAAAACATTCAACTTACAATAGCCTTCCTGTTAAGTTGGGGTGTAATGACACTGTCTAAGCTGATTGTCTGATGCAAGAGATGATGCTGTAAAGGACTTGATATAAAAAGTTTTAACATTGTTATTTTTGTATAAAATAAATTATTTTAGCTTAAAGTCTAATTTGTTTTGCTTGTCTAGCTTTTACCCCATGTGCAAGATAATCTTTCTATACTAGTGTAAAATACTTTTCTTGTTATAGTATTAAGTCAGAAGTACAATAACAAAATATAATGAAAAATAAAATACAAGATGTATATATTAAAAAACTTTTACAAGATTTAAAATAGAGATACTTACGCATACATTCCTGGAATATTACCCCAGAAATAACGTGCCCGGTTTTGAGGTGAAAAGTATTTTGAGTCAATCATGGCAGGATCACACTAAAAAGAGAGTGCACAAAAAAAAGTTGATAATTTTAATTAGAAAAAAAAATTGAAAAACACCAAAAAGTGGTAAAGTTCAGTATATATATATATTTTGCCCATAATTTGTTAACATACCACTAGATGAAATGTTAACATTGAAAATAACTAATATACATAAGTTAAAAAAAATCAAAGGTAAAAGAGTAGTAATTACTTTTAATCAAACAGATCATTACCAAAACACAAGAAACTCAATCAGAGTTTTCACAGATAAAAGATAATCATATTTTGAGCTTCCTTATAAGGAAGCAACACATGACATTAGAATTAAAAACATTTATCTGTTTTTGTGAACTAATGATCAGTGGCTATCTGGAAAAAATTAGCAACAGTGTAAACTATTCATCAGAGCTTCACCATAAGAAAAGAGTAATAGTGTAAGTTATTGATTGGCAAGCCTAAATCTGTGGTTTGAATAATAGCATAAACTACTGATTACAGACTACCAGTAAGAAAATAATACTATTCTAAACTACTAATCAGAGACTACCTGAAAGAAACAGTAAAGTAATAAATTACTAGTCATCCAGAGCTTACCTGTAATAAATATATAAAAAGTGTAGAATATTTATTAGAGCCTACACGTAACAAATAACCAGGAGTGTAAATATTGATCAGTGCCTACCTGTAAGAAACGAGTAATAGTTGACTTGTATTCCTGGGGCATAGATGCAACATTTTCGTACAACCAGAAAACATGGCGTCCCTTATTGGCTAGTTGCACAGCCTTTAAAACCCGAAAAAAATCAAAAAACAATTTTCCTGTTCCTTGTGGGTCTATGAGAAAACAAAAAATAGAGTTAGAAGAACACTTTTTACCATTTTATTCATTACAAACCATCATCAGTTTTCATACTTGTGATTCAACAAATAAACTATAACCTTTCATACATACCAGAAGTTAAATACTTGATATAAAAGTACAATGTATGAATATCATAACCCCAAAAGTTCAACTGGTAGAATTAACCATGAAAAGATTGTTACAGAGAAATTTATACCAAAAGCCTTACCATACAAGTTTTTCTCAAAGAAAATTAATCATATTTAACTAGTCTTATCACAGAGACTGTGGTGAAGTTTGGCTTCATCATAATGCCCCATCCCTGAAGGCCAGCTGAGCAGAGTAGATAGTAAATCAAACTTAGTACATGTTTGGCTCAGTTGACTTGATGAGGAGTTGCACGTGTGTGGAACAGCCAGGATTGGAGTTACTTGCTTGGGTCTTGGTAGCACAGTCTTGTAGAACACTGGCTACATTTAGTATTTACATCAACATTTATAATTAAAAATATGTTTAAAACCAAAGACACTCTACCCATTCCTATGCACTCATGAGTCATATATAAATATATTTGTGGTAGCCGTAAAGCTACCTATATTGGTAAAACTACACTTCACCTTCAAATATGTGTACACAAGTACATGGGAATTTCAGCAAGAAGTGAATATAAGCTAAATAATCCACATGAGTCTTGTATCCAATTGCATAGTGAGAATAACAACCACCCATGCTTCTAGAAAACTTGAAAATTCTCCACTTCGGAAGCACAGATTACGAACTCTTTATTAAAGAAAGCTTCTCCATTTTCAATAATCACCCAACACTAAATAATAACATCAACTCCTCCCTGTTGTCATTAATGTAATCAATTCGGGATTTTCAGTGTTCTTCTTTGATATTTATTATTATTTTAAAGATACAGTGTTTATACTTATATTTAAGCCTTTCTTTAGGACAGTTTCTCTGAACAATGTGTATACTGTATGTTTTATCGTACATACCATTATATTGTTACCGTTTAAATCTGTTATTTCTAAACTTCTGATTGAATATGAAAACTCACTCAATGCTAATGTTGTTTTTTGTAGTTTGAATATTATGAACTAATTTCTTTTTTTTTGGTATTAATGCTGATGATGAAATTTAAGGAAATTCTGAAACATCCATATTAAAGATGCTTTCCTGACAAGATTAAAAAAAGGTAGATCTTTAATTAACAATTTAAACCAAGTATCTTACCTTGGTGAAGTTAACTAAGTTAAGAAAGGCCAACTACACTAAGATGTATACTAAACAAATGTCTTACCATACAGGCCTTTTCTAGCAGGATTAACCAGAGAGAGATCATTACAAGGAGACCCTCCAATTACCAAGTCTATGGGGCACAGCTTAGCTACCTGTAAAATTATATGATACCATCTTATAGATCTTTTTTTTTTCCCATATGTACAAATTGAATAAAAAATTATTGAAAATTTCTTCTATCCATAAATCATTAGTAACCCAAATCTAGATACATGATACATACATTTTATACCATTTGACATATATAAGAAAAAGTTTTAATTTTATTACATCTTGATTGAACATTGTAAATTTTAAATAAAAGTATTAAATAATCTATTCATAAAAGTAATTAAAAATGGTTAAATCAATAATAAAAGAATCACAGTGTTTCATTGAGTTAACCTAGCAGTAAGGAAATTGACATAAAGAAAGCAAAAACATATTTACATAATAAGTGTTCCAGAATTCCTCACAAAATAGCCAATCACATTAAAATATATATTCTTCCCTGTATTTTTAGTAATAGATAAACTCTTTAACTAAACAAAGAGCATTTACATGACTTAAAGCTATTTATACTAGATTTCCTGCCTAAAACAAACACAACTAAGTTATTGAAATTATGACCAATGTTTCTAGAGTATTCAAAGAAATGTGAAGATGTTGATTCTGATTTAAAACTACTTACCAATTTTCGCAATGTTTAACTGCTCACAATCTTGATACATAACTTTTTACGTTGCAGACTTAACTCCAGACGCTTTGTTACATTGTATGATAAAATAAGCTCCCAACATTTTCCAAAATTAAAACTAAAGTGAATGTCAATGTTAATATTCAAATTATTAAAGGCCATTTTACATGCATTCTTGATAGTTTGGAGCATATGTCAAAGGTAATGTCTACATTCTTAAGAGACCACATTACGTTCTATTGGTGTACGGGATAAATATGGAACAAAAGATGGATATTTAGAGCCTCAGATGATTCAGAAAGTTATAAACAAATAAAAAAGAAAAGCCTTTATGTTTTGCCAAGGCATTACTTTTATGGAGCAACACATTTGAGATACAGGTAGCAAGCAGCATAGTAATTAACCCAATTTTTATATAGAACAATGTGCACACTTGTGATTTTTTTCTATAAAGATAATTTTTATGGGGTTCCTTATTAATACTTGTCACAAAACAGACATTGCACTTTCATTAAAATATTTATTATTTCCTAATATAAGAAATGTTAGGATGAAGGCAATTTTACAAAATCAAAGTTCTGAACAGATGCAACTGTGAAACATTCAGCAAATAAACTGTCAGTGTGCCTAGTTTTTTAACTGGTTATTACATATGTTGGAAAAGTAGGAACCAAGAGAATACTTTATCATCAATCTGGTTATAAAAAAAAATCACACTCAAACATTCTAAAATTTTCCTAATGATAGTTGAAAGATCAAAAGGCCGATCCTGTAGTCTCAAAGGGAAACCTTCCTTAGGAATTTTAGAACTAACCTTATGTTCTGCAAAAAAAGAATTAATTATAACACATATTCTGGTTGCCACTGTCACTGAAAGTTTGTATTTTTTTCTGAAAGTTTAATAATGAAATCAAACACTTAAGTAATGTCTTCATAGAATATGATGATTTTAGTTTTTCAGTTGTTGATAAATCTATAAATTGTCAAGTCTTCACTTTTTAAGAGCCTATTTAGGACCATGCTTATTATACAACCTTTCTTGGTTCAAGTTTAGAGCACAAAAAAGGGATTCTAATGAATTTAAAATTACCTTTGATGCCAAATTCATTTTTCTTCCTACAAAAATGTTGGAAACTTGTCTCACTACATATTAGAAACAAATGTCTACAGTTAAACCTACAGAGTATAGTGTTATTTGTGGAAATTCTAAGAAAGTTTTTACTGGATAACTTAATTACAATCTTTCTATCACAGTAAATGAACATCACCACTCACCTTCACATTTCTTAACATTGCACAAACACTAGCTATAACTTAGATAGTTTAAAAGTGTTATTTTAGATGAGAAATCAAAGTTCAATAGATATAAAACTCAACAGCTCTTTTCATGAGTTAAAACGATTATATGCTAATAAGTATACTGCAACAAATCTTTACTTGTTTCAATGTGACTGGTTGTTTTGTGATATAATTTGATAGATGCCTTGTAGGATTATTAGTGCTTGCCTAAGGTCAAATTCCTTTCTGTCTGGTGATGCCTTGCTATCTTAGTGAAATGTTGTGGTTTTTATTCTGCTTTTAGCCCTAGATTTACATTTTTATTTGTTTTATTTTAATGTGCAGAGTATCTGTTTAGTGATACAGCTTACTTAATGTTTTTCTAAATGGTAACAAAAGAAGTTTAAGATATGTTTTTTACGATAGTGTATGTTTCATTAGTAGACAATGAGGACTATGAAGACTATAAAACTCATGATTTTTTATTCTGAATTTGTTCAACTTCAAAACATAGATATATATATATATATATATATATAAAGGATAATCTTGTTAAAAGGCCTCATAACATCCATAAGTTTAAAATAAAATTAACCTATTGATTAACAATTTACTTGCCTCAGCATCAGTGACATCTTCAATCCGACCAAGCTGGTTAATACTGAGTTTATGTTGAACTATGGAGACATTAATGGCATCCTGGTCAATCTCACTAGCATAGTAGGCATCCACATTTATCCCCAACTGATCTAACACAAACTTGCCTTCAAATCATAAAATAATATCAAGTGCAACCTTTTTATTACATATATATTGCAAATATTTTATATGATATGTAGAACACTTATTAAATAAATGCTATATACTATACACAGTAAGGCAAAACAGTTTAACCAGTTTTAAATTATTTTTTTCAACTGGATATATATGAAAATATTATATTTCTTATGAAAAAACAAAAGATACATATTAACACTATGTGTCTGGGTGAGAGTCACAGTGTACATATCATGAACTTTTAACCTTAAAATGCCAGCGTGGGGTCACTATGACCCCATACCACTTGGTGTTAATGATTGAAAATTTAATGCTGGAATTCTAGAGTTAAAGAGTGCTATTCAACATGGTATTATGTATTTGATGTCAGAGTTATCAACTATTCATTTTACCCTATATTGTTGATTTAGCAAAATTTAATGGTAGAGGAGAGTAAATACCAGATACAATATACAGGGATACTGAAAAAATCTGTTGATATACAGCTTGGAGGTTCTAAAGGTTATGTACTTGCAATATGCAAACTTTTCGATAATCAAAAGTATTTTTATTCTTCATATGAACATCACCTTGCATTCCGATTGGTCAATCTGAGTCAGACTGACATCATCAGTTTACAGACATATCTTGAGTACAAATATCTGCTTAACACAATCTTATTTTTTGTGTAGAACAAACTTGTACATTTTACTAAAAGCTTCTCACATTTTTTGCAGATACACTTACTAAATTCAAAACTATAGTCAAATTTTCTTCTCCAATACAGGGTTGTTTCATTGGACCAATATTCTGAAAAAACTGATTTGTAAATGAGATTCAGTCAATAATTGTGATGATATATGAGATTGATCATGTTAAATTATAGACAACCACTCATGTAAATACTAGAGATAATCAATAGGAAGAATATCAGTGTTTGTTAGTATGAAATGTATAAAAAACACAACTTTATTGTTTACCTGTTCCAATACCATCAAACAAAGAGAGGACTCTAATTGGTCGTTTTTCTTTATAATCTTCTGGAGAGGGAGGAAGATGAACATGTTTCTCAGGTTGAAATAGCTGCATTACATTCTGCTGCCACTCCTCCTTACATCTGATGAGACCATTGATCTCAGGATCGTAATCATGACACATATAACACAACCAAGGACTAGTACTTAGCACCTGAATAAACAAGAAAGTACAAGTTCAAACTTTAACACACAAATTAGTGTTTGAATTTTATACTTTAAGCTCCTTTTAAAAAAGAAATTATGAAATGAAGTTCTTTAACTTATCACTGTTTCTTATGCATAATAAATGTGATAAATCAAGCCCATTGCTAGTATTTTTTCCAGGTATGAGGGCTGTTGAAGTCCTCAGTGAAGTCCAGGGACAATATTCCAGTAGTGATTCAGGGAGCAAACTCCCAAAAGATAGAGATTTCATAATTTAATATAGCAATTTTAGCTTCTATTGGGTGCATATTCTTTTAATATTGGGAACAGGGACAAAAAGAATATTTTCCAATTACATATTGTAATAAGACAGAAATGTTACCAGTTTTCACTATGTATACTTCAGGATTATAAGTTAAAATCAAGGAGTGTAAAAGTTTGGTCAATTCTTGTACATCTATAACCATAATTAATGTCAATGTTATTGTAAATTACATACAGCCAAACAATTTGAACTGTTTAATTTGTTGTAAATATAAAACTGAAAATAGACAAGAAGGTATCACTCAGTGTAAAAAACTAAGATGTCAACTCTGTAATCTAGGTTATATTATTAATACCAATATTACTGGAAACATAGATAACACCAGTATGTTTAAAATCAAATATTTTTCTTTCAATTCTATGAACTATATTTATGTGTTAAAATGTACAGTATATTGGGAATGTTATGTTGGTCAAACTGAAAATTTATGATATACAATGAATCCACACAAGTTTTATGTTAAAAACCCAAGTAACAGTCAACTAAGATGCTACAAACATTTTTATAATTGTATCTTAAGTACCCATGGTATATTACAAGAACCTTTCTTTTTCTGTTTTCCATTTTAGTCTTGTGATAACCAACAAAAAATATTATTATATGATAGTTAGTTCATAAAAATATTTTGAAGTAATTTGAATTTATGTGAATATCATGAGTATTTAGTTATGTTTTGTTGTGTATGGATATTAAATAATCTACATATATATAAAAGAGGAAGTTTGTTTATTTGTTTATTTTGTTCGCTATAGGAAACCAAACGG